AAAGTATCTTATTTCTTCATTAATTTTTAGAGAGAGTTTTGATGGATATATGAACTTTGGTTGCATATTTTTTTCTTTCAGGACTTGGAATATTTCTCCCCACTCCCTTCTTGACTTAAGAGTTTGTGTTGATAAGTCTGCTGTTATTTTGATAGATTTCCCGTTATAGGTAACCTGCATCTTTTCTCTGGCTGCTTTTAATATTCTGTTTTTTTGGTGGATTTCTGGGATCTCGATTATTATATGTCTAGGCGTAGATCTGTTTTGGTTGTAGGTAGCTGGTGTTCTGTATGCTTCTTTTATCTGGATATCATTTCTTTTTGCTATACATGGGAAATTTTGCTTTAATATCTCTGTGAATATTTTTTGTATTTCATTTTTGGATGTTCCTGCTTCCTCACTCACATTCTTTATTCTTAGGTTATGTATCTTTTTGTCATCTTCCAGTTTTAGAATTGCTTCTTTCTGGTTCCTTGTTATTTTTAAGAGGCTTTTTCTTTCACGTTCATATGTCCTAAATCTCTCTTCAAGTTTCAGAAGGCTATCTTTAGTTTCTGTCAAGGCATTTTGCCAATGTTCAATGGAGTTTTTAGTTTCCTGATATTCTCTTTGGATCTGTTTCATGTATTCTAGGTTACGCTTAAATTCTTCTTCAGATGCTTCTCTTTCTTTTCTGATTTCCTCAGTTCTTCCATCTGTGTTCTCTTGGGCGGGGCTTGTCATTTCTTTAATTAATCTCTTTATATCTTGCCTCACTTGGATCAGGAGTACAGCTTTAAATTCCTCTATGAGATCATATAGGTACTTTTTAATTTCAGCTGATGCTGTGTCGAGTAGTGGATGGTTACTGTGCTTGTTCTCTTCAGTGTTTACTTCTCCTGGGCTTATTTTCTCCTGTTGGGCAGCTGGAGATTTTTTTTTATTTTTATCTCTTGTCATGTTTCTGGTTTCTTTCAGACTGTCCTGGAGTTCTCTGGCCCTCTCCGAATTGCTTAGGCCCTTTCAGAAGCGTGCTGGCTTGAGTTTTTGCTGTCCTCCCCAATTTACTGTTATCTGGGGTAGACTGGGCTGCAGGGGCAGTACAGGCTAGTCTCTAGCCTCTGTGCCAGTTAGTTCCTAAATTAGGCTGTACTTTCTGGTTGTCACTGAGTTGTGACTATTTTGTATCCGCTCATTGGGCCCCAAGCAGAGGCTTGGGTTAGCCCCAGTATCTCCTGCCAGTTCTCTTTGTACCAGAAGCAGCTGACTAATGTCACTATGGCACAGGGTCCTGCCCAAATCTCAGCTGTTCTCTTCCAGACCTCTCTGTGTCAGGAGCACCAGCACAGCAGAACTGCCCAAACTCTGTATGAGGCTGAAGCCAACACGTACTCAGGCTCTGCCCAATTCCAAGATGCCTTCCACTAGCCCTCCCTACAGGGGGCTCAGTGACGCCACTGAGCTGTAGGTTCTGCCCAACTGTAAAATGGCTGCCACCAGACTCTGTGTTATTGATGTCCCCGTGGTGGCGGGCACTGTCCCGTTCCAAGATGTTATCTGGCCAACCCTGGCAGTCGCAGGGTCTCTAGTACTCACCAGGGTCCATGCCGCCCACCTTTCCCACGTTCCCAGCACAGCACTGATCGGTCAGAGATCCGCGCAGCGTGCACTCCCCATACAGCACAGAATGGTCAGAAATCCGCGCAGCGCCTGGTACAGTGCGGAGTGGTCAGAAATCCGCGCTGCGTGCACTCCCGGCTCAGTGTGGAACCATTGGAAACCCGCGCGGCTTGCACTCGCGGCGCAGTCAGAAATCCGCGCTGCGTGTACTCCCTGTACGGCGTGGAGGGGTCAGAAATCCGTGCTGCGTGCACTCCCGGTACGGTGTGGAAGGGTCAGAAACCCGCGCGGTGTGCCCTCCCAGCACAGTGCGGAGCAGCGTTTGGCTTTGGAGCTCGAGAGTCTTTCACAATCTTCTCTGGTGTAGCTGGTTAGTCAAAAGCCAACACAGCTTTTCCTGTTGCGTCCATGGGTTAAACTGTTGATTTAAAGGCGCAGGATTTGCATCTTCCCGTTTTCAGCCTTCACAGTCTCAGCACGACTTTAAATCCTCCAGCTGCACTGTCTTGGTTAATAAGAATCGTTATCCATTTGTCTGGCCCTCTCCATGTTGTGATATTCTAGCTTTTAATATGATTTCTCCGGAGAGACTCTCCGCCCGATCCTCTAGTTAGCCGCCATTTTCTCCTCTAGTTTAAATTTTTTGAGGTGTCTTCACACTGATATCCATAGTGATAGTACTAGTTTATTTCCTCACACCAAAGAAGAAGGGTTCCATTTCCCCATTTGCTTTTGATTTCTTTATGATACTCATTTTTTTCAAGAGTAAGATGGAATCTGTATGTCTTTAAAATTTAAGGTGGATTTCTTCTTCAGGCATTTCTACTGGCATTCCTCTGGGCATTTCACTTCAAGGCAGGGAAAAATTCTAGTATATTCACAACTGATTAATGATCTATGGGGTGTTTCTCAGTTCATAGTAATTATTTGAACAGTATGGAGGAGGAGAAAGAGAACTTTGTGATCTCACCACGTGGTGAGTTGATTGAAGATGAAGGCTAATGTGTGAGGGTGGAACCTAGCTTCTGCACCTGCAGGGAGTTGGTGAAGGTGGTGACCTGGTTACATTTTGAGTAAATTTTGGCACTGGTGGGGAGGTCCTGGCTAAAAGGACCTCAGAGGCAAACTATGCCCTCAGGAGGTGCTGTGCCCAGGATTGTGCAGATATAGATATCTCAGCTACTTGTCTTTTTTCCCACAGATTTTGAGAACTACAGCATGGGAAACAGAAGTGTCTTCTTGTGGCTTGCTCTGAATTCACTCACAATGCAAATTTCACTTCCTATGACTATTCTCAGACAAGACACCAGAGCTAATTAGTAGAGTTCGCTTACTGTCACCCTCACACATGGGAATAAAGAATTTAGAATCAGGTCACTAAGAGAATGTAATTAATTATGAATTTGCAGGGCAAACTGGCTTACCTAGTAATATTAACAATGGCTCTGTGTCATACTCAGGTTAAATGTGTACACTATTTTCTAGTCTCTTCAAATTCATGCAAAAATGCATTATTTTAAAGAGCCTCTAATTTAAACTGTCAGGTCCTTTTGTAGCTCAAAGAGGCAAGGAATTAGGAATATAAGCCTGTTTGCTTAAAAATATCATTTCGATTCCAAAATAGTGTTTGAGGAAAGATACTTATTTTTTAATATTTATGCAGAGAATTCCAAATTTTTTAACATTTTTCTTACCCCTCTGGGCATGATTTCATACCCAGTTTGAATTTTTGCTTAAGAAAAGCACTCAGGGACTGGGATTTAGGTCAGCCACGTAAGCACCTGCTTGGCAAGGTCTTCAGTTCAATCCCCTTTAACAACAACAACAACAACAACAACAAAACACTGTTTAACTTTCCTTCTTAGAAGTCTTATCAGTAAATTCCTACATTTTTTAGATCAACTTCTGGCAAGCAGGACAAAATGAACTATGTACAGTAAGTAATGTGAGTTCCGGTGAGGTGAAATGAGGTTATTTAGTTGACAAAATACCTGTGCTTTTGTTGTTACAGTTAGGTAACTACATCCCTGATGTTGGCACCAGACAGTGTTATTGAATGGGCTGGAGCTGGGTTGTACATTTGATGCATACTGACCAGTTCTTATTCCAGGTGCATCATTCTTGGACACTGTTGTGTGGGATGTGCATCAAAAATTCTTCAAACAGAATTCAGGCTGAGGTTACTCAGAGTTCTTTCAGGTCCTCCACAAGCCTGGCCCCTCTTGGAGAGGCCCCTTACCTCACGCCTCACCCCTGCCTTCTTTCCTGTTTCTTCACTCCCAGTTTTGGCAATCCCCACATTTTATATTCCGTGGCCTCACTGAATATGATATGTATTTTCTAATGATACCAGTGTTGTCATTCTTGATGTTCTCTGATTGAAATAGTCTACTTTCTCTGTACTTGCTTGCTAGATGAACCTGTATTCTTTCCTCAGGGACCCAACTTGAATTTTTCCCCTTTTGTGAAGTCTTTCTAAAATTCCCTGCCCCATTCCTACCATTCCGGACAAAGTAACTGCTACTACCCCAAAAGTATTTTCAAGTTCAAAGCCTGCTGCTTCACTCCCCCCACAATCATAATGCTGAATGACCTCATACAACTTTCTCATGACTTCTGGACCACAGCTTCATCATCTGTAAAATGTAAACAGAAATAGTGCCTACTTTATAGAACCGCTCTGAAGATTTGACCCTTGCAAAGCCCATACTGAGCCTGGCGCCTGGCACTTAATCAGTGGTAGCTATTAGCAAAATTATTCATGGTATGAAACATGGCACAGTTGCAAATCTGTCTTGATAAGATTTAATGATGAAGACCAAAATACAGTCTCTCATTTCCCTATAGGATTTCTTTTTATTATGAAAAATTTCTAACATACACAAAACACAAACATAGTATAATGAACCTCTATTATTCATCACTCAACTTCTTTAGTAATGTACTACTAAAACTTGCTTTATTTATTTGCCCTTTCTCTACTCTTTACTGATTATTATCTTTTAAAGTCCATTATTTACCAAAGAAGAGTGGAACTAACCATGTGTCGAACTTTTCTCTCACTACAGCAGGTATAAAACAGATACAGTCATTGTAAAGCAGGCATAATACATGCTCTAGAAAGAAAAACATACCAGCATTGAAGAGACTGGCTCCTTTTTCTTTTACAGGAAAGGAGTCAATTATAAACACTGAATAGCTTCTTTCCTTCTGTTTTTTTGAGACAGTTTTTAACTAAGCAGTTCTGGCTGGCTTATAAGGCTAGCTGAGGCTGGACCCCAATTTGCAATGATATCCTCCCTCATTCTCCTTGATGGTGTCATTCTAGGTGTAAGGTGTGGCTCAGCTTCTCACGTTACTACCATCATCAGTGCAACTTCTGATTTTTCAACACAGATTATCCGGGGAGAGCACGAACACAGTCCCTAACTACCACAAATTATGCAGTTGAATTTCCAGAATTTGAGGAAATTGCAGGGATCAGCACATCTGGAGTGCAATGGATCAGCCTTGCACTGGAAAAACCACCTTCGTGATCATGGTATCTCTCCTGTCAGGTAAGGATTGATTACTGTTTTTCTACAGCTTTATCAGTGTAATTCTCATGTCACAGAATCTATACATTGTAAATGTACCATTCAATGATTTTAGTAAGTTTATAGATTTATGTGACCATCGGCCACAATCTAGCTTTAAAATCTACTTCTTTTTGATTTAAAGAAAATAGCAGCATCTCTTTTCCATATGTCATTATTATATTTTACTCAACTTTTAATAAGATTTACAATAAGAGCAATAAGAGCAGCCCTCACAGAGGCAGGCTTGGCATGTAGTTTTGTATTTTTGGTAATTTCTGTGTTTGCTTGTGAGAGTTGTTTTTTACACTGCTAGTGTCTGTTTTGGAAACAAGAGAGTCTTTGAACTTAACTATTTCATTTAAGCATTCCTTCCTGTTGCAATGAAAACCATCTGACATTTTGATAAAGACAGAACAAACAAAGCATAAAATGCTGTTGGAGCCTGAAGATATTTGTTTAATTTGTGTACAAAAAAGGATGGGATCAGTTATAAAAGATGATCATAACTTACTGTGGTAAACTGCAACCCCTTTTTGACTCCACCATGCTTCTCTGGTCAGCTTAGCATATTGTATTTACCATAGGTTTGTGATAACTAGCAGGATTTACAATATTGACTTGTTTCTTTCTTTTTAAAAAAAAAAACTGGACAAATCAATAATCAACTCCGAGCCATATACAGAGTATTACTCCCTAGCAATGGTTCACTCATTTGGTCGACAAACATTTATTTAGTTAGGTCCTCTGATAGCAGAGGTTATCCTAGTATATCAGCTGGGAGTGGTAGAAAGAATAGATAAGAATTCAAATCTGGATTCTGCTATTTAGCTCTAAGTCTCAATTATCTTTTCTACAAAATAGTAAAAGTAAGTATTTCCTGTTGCACACTATTGTTGGGAAAATTTAATGAATCATGCACATAAGACATCCACATTGTGCATGTCACCTTTCTGACAGTAACTGTTATTGCCCATCTTTATTTAGGTGTTAACATCGTTCTTTAGTTATTGGCATGTTCATATATCAGGCTTCCTAGAACAAGAAACTGAAGTGACAATTTTCGTGAGAGTGATTTACTTAAGGAGTGTACATCAAGAAGAACCTATATGTGAAGGAGTGAAATAAGGTGGGAGGGAAGCTAAAAATGGGTACAAACTCAGGTCAAGAGTAAGCGGGAGGCTGACACAGAGGCTTTAGAGCATTTACAGAGCTGCAGAGTTGTTCCCCACTGTGGCAGGTGGCAGGTGGCAGGTGGCAGGGACCGGATTCTTATGTCTTGTACCTGTTAGTCATTGCATGTGGACTGAAGGTATTTCTGATCCTGCTGGCTGAGGTTTATTCTCATGGCAGAAGAAGCCATTTGCAACTGTCCTGTCCTGGCACAAGGCTGCACTGCCTGGGAGGGGGTATAGTGAAGTAGACATGGACCTTACCTTGCAAAAATGGCATATTCGTGTGCATGTGGTGGGGTAAGACATGCCCAAACCATGAGCGGAGAGGTGGAGCATCGTGCTACTTTTCTAGCTAGACTTTGTGGAGAAGGGAGCACCTGAGCTTTTTCTTAAAAGAGGTGGAAATGTAATAGTGATATTAATCCATTCATGAAGACTGAAGACTCAAAACCTAATCACAATTTAAAAATCCCACCTTGCAACACCACTATCTGGGGGATTAACTTTCAAACACATGAAATTTGGAAGACACTTTCAAAACAAAGCACAACCAAATTTCTCCATTGTGAGGTCATTATTAGTGAAAAAAACATTTTAAATCAAATTTTGTGGCTACTGTTGGTCTTTTATAGAGTACATCTGATTATGTACTCCTTTTAAAATTTGGATGTTCAATTCGTTTAATTATTATTTACTGAAGACTTTCTATATGTTGGGCACTGTGCAAGCCGTGATTGTGAATAAGAAGATATAGCCCTTGACCTGCAGAATTTCATGGAAGGAAGTATTAGGCAGAGTTTCACTGGAATGGAGTAGAAATCTACAAGAAGGCATTCCAGTTAATCTGGGAAGGGAGAAAGTACAGACTATGTCTGGGCAGGATGGTTAAACTGAGACTTGAGACACAATGAAATATCTAGAAGAAGGAGAATTAACTTTTTGGAGGGAGCTGACTTTTTTTTGTTCTCCTGTTTTTAGTTGGATAAAGGTATGTTTATCATTAGAATTCAATAAAATTAAGAGTGCAGCATTTTTCAGGTTTACAGCAACCAACAATAAATAATTTGTTTGCAGAATTTTGTCTTACAGGGCTGGGGATTTGGCTCAGCGGCATAAGTGCCTGCCTTGCAAGCCTGAGTCATGAGTTTGATCCCTGGTACAAAAACAAAAATACACATCAACCAACCAACCAAACAAACACTATTTAAGAAAAGAATGAAAAATAATGCACATAAAAAATTTGGGTTGAAATACATATTTAAAAAATTAGACTTGAGACTATCTTCCATTCAGTAAAACTGACTGTGAGTTTACCAACTACCTCAGCATCCATAAAGAAAACATTTTCTCAGTCAAAAATGTTCTACAAGAAAAGCAGCACAAAGTGTTAACAATTTCAAAACTATTAACTATAATATATACCCGTGGAAAAGATTATAGATTATTTTATGAAAATAAGACCTATTAAAATACACTGAAAAATATTAGTGATGATTTTAGAGACACATATAATTAGGAAACTGGTTAAAGTACAGTGAAACCCCAGTTCACAAATTCAATTATTTCCATGATTCTGTTTGCAAGTTGAACTGGATATGAACCAAATCAAACTTTCCCAGAAGGTCAATGTTGGACCTAACCATTGAATTTGATTCTGGTCTTGTCTAACTCAGTTTATAACCAGAATCATGGAAAGAATCAAGCACATAAACTGAAGCACCACGTTACATGCATATGTATCAAAAATAATTTTCTACTTAATTTTTTTTTTTTTTTCCGTTTTTATCGGTACCGGGGATTGAACTCACGACTGCCTGCTTGCAAGGCAGGCGCTTAGGCCGCTAAGCTAAATCCCCAGCCCCATTTTCTACTTGATTATATTGTAATATTCAGATAAAATATATAAAGTTTTAAATTTTGCTTAAATGCACACAGTAAAGGTTAGTTTTATTTTTCAAAATAATTTTTAAAGAGAACTACTTTAAGGTCTATTAATAAAGTCAAATAAGATTTAAAATATTTCAAAAAATTACATCATTTGATTTCTTTTTCAACATCCCTTTTATGCTCTGTAATGGATTAACCACTGGTCGATTTAAGTGGGAATTCCCAGGTGTACGGAGTCAGTGTGGTTCTGGGAGTGGAAGACCCACCTGAGGATTGTTGCCAATGGCATAAAAAGAGAACTGGAGAGGAAGACTGTATGCTGTTGATTTTTCTGGAGAAGCTTGTGGCTGGCTTTTCTGATAAAAACTTGGCTGTTTTTATTGTCTGGGAGGGCTGCTGTTCTATTCAGGGGAGCTTTGATCTTTGTCTTGAGTGTGGCTTCCTGGCTCCAGTGCAGATCCCTCAGCCTGCTGGCACAGATCCTTCACCCACTGGTGCAGACTTTCTAGCCTCCACCACTGATTGTTTGGCCATTCTGGTGCGGATCCTTGATACAGATTGTTGATGAGATATTGCCATGGGCTCTAGGCCTTGGGCTGGACTCATGTGGGACATTGCTATGGGCTCCAGGCCCTCAGATGGATTATTTGGGTCTTTAGCACATGGCCAAATCTCTTGTCCTCCTCTGAATTTTACTTTTTGTGTGAATATTATAAAGTAATACTGTAAATTATGTGTCCTATATTAAATATTTCTTTGCAAGCCACTGACTACAGCACACTCAAAAGCATAAAATTATCTCCTTACCAATGTTCTTAAATGGTATATTCAGGTCTCCATTGCTAGTGACATACTAAAATACAAAGCCTTCTGACCCTTAGAAAGCAGAAAAGGGCTTCTTAGTTTTTCTCTTGTCATGTTTTTTCTTGCAATTATCCATGTCATTTTGAGGCTACATAAACCAAGTATTAATATATACCAAGAACTGGGCTGGAGGTTTAACTTCAGTGACATAAGCAGCTGCCTGGAAAGCATAAGGTTGTGAGTTTGAGCCCCAGTACCCCACGCCAAAATTATATGGATTGACTTACCAGTCCTTATAATAGTTGTATGATATAAACATTTTTGTTATCTTCAACTTACAGATGATGAATTTGAGGCTTAATTTAAGTTAATTTGCCTAGTGGGACATACTTTGTATATGGCAAACCTGAAATTAAAAGTGTTTTATTGATCACTGTTTATATTTCATATTTCTATTTGCTCAATCTGGTAGACTGAGAGACCTTTACATATGTATATATATATATATATATATATATATATATATATATATAGTTTTTTTTAAACTGAAGATTAGGGTTGGGCATAGTGGTGCACACCTGTAATCTCAGCATTCAGAAGGCTGAAGCAGGTGGATCAATGCAAATTTGAGGCCAGTTAGGGTTACAAAGTGGATTTAAAGTTAGCCTGATCTGCACAGTGAAACTCTGTCTCAAAAAGACAAAACAAAACAAAAAACTGGAGGTTGAATCAGGTATTTCACGCTAAGCTAGAACCTGGGTCTATTTTGGTTTGGTTTTTTTGAGACAATTTCTTGCTAAATTGCCCAAACTGACCTCAAATTTATAATCCTCCTGCCTCAGCCTCTTACGAGTCCTGGCATTACAGGTGTACCACCATGCTGGATTCACACACCAGATTTTTTGTTATGGTTGCAGTTTTTCAGGGATCTTCTCTCAGCTTATTTCTTATTCTCAGTACCTGCACTTCTTTCTGATATTAAAAAAATAAATACTCTGTCCCATTAAGTGAACTCTGAATGGAAGAAGTGATGCAGTATTTGAATCTGTGAGCAGTAGCTAGGGAAAAAAGTTCTTATGTCCATTTAAGGTGGATTGCTAACTGAGGATTTGTCATATGAATCATTATGGTGTCTCAGTGTTGAAGCTGAACAGAACTCTCTCTCTCTCTCTCTCTCTCTCTCTCTCTTTTTTTTTTTTTTTTTTTTGGTACCGGAAATTGAACTGATGACCTCGTGCTTGTCAGGCAGGCACTTATGCCTCTGAGCTAAATCCCCAGACCCAAATAGCTCATTAGTAAATGCTTTTCTGTTTTGTTTTGTTTGTTTGGTACTGGGGATCGAACTCAGCCAGGCAGGCATTTAAGCCACTGAGCTAAATCCCTGGCCCAGAACTCTCTTTAAGATCAGGGAATAGTGGCTTTGGAGATGCTGCTATCCTCCCCATTAGTTGTTCACTGCCAACCATGGTCAACCCCACTGTGTTTGATGACATTGCTGCTGATGGTGAGCCCTTGGACCATGTCTCCTTCGAGCTGTATACAGACAAAGTTCCAAAGACAGCAGAAAACTTTTGTTCTCTGAGTACTGGAGAGGAAGGATTTGGTTATAAACGTTCCTACTTTCACAGAATTATTCCAGGATTTATGTGCCAGGGCAGTGACTTCACACACCACAATGGCATTGGTGGCAAGTCCATCCATGGGGAGAAATTCGATGACAAGTACTTCATCCTGAAGCACACAGGTCCTGGCATCTTGTTCGTGGCAAATCCTGGGCCAAACACAATGGTCCCCAGTTTCTCATCTGCACTGCCAAGAGTGTGTGTATGGTTGGATGGCGAGCACGTGGTCTTTGGGAAGGTGAAAGAGGGCATGACCACCATGGAGGCCATGGAGCACTTCGGGTCCAGGAATGGCAAGACCAGCAAGAAGATCACCAGCACCAACTGTGGACAACTCTAAAGTGTATGACTTGTGTGTATCATGACCACCAGACCATTCCTCTAGCTCAGGAGAATACCCCTCATCCCACCTGCTCAAAATACCCCATCATTTCTGCCCTTACCGCAGTTTTTTGGGTTCCATATTTTCCTTGCTCCCCTCCAAATGTAGCTGAATTGCAGAGTTAAGTTTATGGTTATGAATAAAAACTAAATAATGTTAAAAAAAAAAAAGATCAGGAAATAGTACTGATGTGGTATCAGCAGACCTGATTTTCTACTTGGTGGCTTCCAGTTGCTGACTAACAAGATAAGCACATTATCTTTGTTTATAATTAATATAATTGTTTGAATTATCATTTGTTTAGAAATATAAACTATAAAGAGCTAAAAATTTTAATTGTTGTATCAGTAATCATGGACCAAGATCTTACATTTGTATTTTTCTTTGCAGTACTATATTATTTCAATGAATCTCTCAATAATCCTATAGTTTTGGTAGAATTATCTTTGGTTTATAATCAAGGAACTTAACAGATTTAATGCTTTTCTGTTGAGTCAGCTTTAGGTGTCATAACAGAATGCTATAGACTGGATGGATTAAACAACAGAAATTTATTTTTTCATAGCTCAAGAGACTGGCTTTCAGAGATTAGGAGGCTAGCGTATTTGGGATCTGGTGAGGTTTGCTCCCAAATTGCAGATGGCAGTCCTCTTTATATTCTTACATGACAGAGCAGGAGAGAGAGCATGCTAACTCTTCGATGTCTCTTCTTAAAAGGTCACTAATCCTATCATGAGGCCTTACTCTCATGACTTCATCTAAATCTTTCTCCCAAAGGCCTGTCTCCAAATACCATCACATTAATGGGTTCAAGATTCAACATGAATTCAGTGTGTCAAATTATGTTCATAATACTACAGCTTCCTTTAAGATCATGAAATTCATCTAGGTATGGTGAGGTAGGAAGACCTGACGTTTGAGCCCAACCTAAACAACTTAGTGACTTGGTGAGAACCTGTCTCAAAATAAACAATAAAAAAGGTTTGGGAAGCTCAGTGCAAAAGCCCTGGATTCATTTCCCATTGGGAAAAAAAGTCATGAAGCCTATAAATGGTAAAGACAAAAGTCCCATCTAGGCTTTTCACTTCAAAACCTTAACTCTGTCCACAAACCCAGAGGCAGTCACTTCACTTTGAGAATAATTCAGTCAGAACTTTCACCTGTTATATCCAACACTTCTTGTGTGAGACACATTTACATGTAGATTGTAGTGTTTTTCTACCCACTACTCTGGCCCTTGTGGAAATCAAATTTGAGGGCATTCTTCTCTAGTAATAATTCCTTTATACAATGTACCAGCTAGCAGATCCTTGGATATGCCCATCCAAAAATTCAGGAGTTGCCTATGGACTTCTAGTTTCAAGGTGCACAAGAACTTCAAAAATTATTAACGTTCTAGAAAAATAGAATGTTTACAATAATTGAAGTTGTAGTATTTTATTAAACTGATTTAATATACTATGTTTTACCATAATGTATATTATTGTACCAGAGAAAGTCAGAAAATTTTCATTTTACTCCTTCATAAAAAACAAGAAGGCAATGATTTTTGTTTTCTTGGGGATTTTTACCTCTACAATTTTTTTCATCTTCAAGAATTATAGGTCAAGTAATAAGTTTGGGTTTCATAGAGCAGACCCATTAAAAGGCCTAAAGGACAGTTTCTTTGGGGAAATGATTGTATCAAGAGAGTGAATCGCATGGTTGTACATGTGGAGGTTGGGGTGGGGGTGGTGAGGAGCAAGTAGCCCACGCAGAGGGAGTGGCAGATCCAGGGCTCTGAGTAGCATGCCTCAGGGATTCCAAGGAAATCTGTGTGGTGGCAGTGTAGTATTGGGGGAGACTATTGTGATGAAGGGGTCCCAGAGCCTCTAGGATTCTTTCATTCTGAGTAAAATAAGGAAATAGTAATTATATGAAGAACATAATTTGACAGACATTTTATAAGGATTACTCTGGTGGTTGAAATATAATAGTCATTGTGGGTGAGGGCAAGGGTAGAAGCAAGAAGATTAGGGAGGAGGTTACTGTAACAGCTGAACCAGATGCAAAAAGTAGGCAGAGTACTTTGAAACTAAAGTCATAGATTGATATGGATATGATTAAAAAAAAGAATTCAAGGCTAAGGTAGAGGTTAAGGCCTGAGCAACAAGAAAATGAGCTCTGTGCATATTAGAAAATAAAAGATTGCAGGTAGATCAAGTTTCGAGGAGATCAAATCTGTTGAGATCTGAGATGGCTATCAGACATTTATGTTCCCATGTAGTAAGCAATTGGATAAAAGTCTGGGGAAAACATTGCTTGGATATAGATATTTGAGTGTCATTAACATGTAGATGTACTTCATGTCACAGAAAGGGTGAGTTCATAAGAAAAGTATAGAAAGAGAAAACACATAAAGACTAGGACCAATCTAGTTCTACAGTCTAGATGAAGCTATCAGAGGAGACTCAGAAGTGCCTCATAAAGTAAAAGCAAAATCAAGAGAGTCCTGAAACCTAAATAGAAAAAATATCTCACATCCATAGTGCTAAGCGAAATAAGTCATACACAAAAGGTTACATGGTTTTTCTCATATGAGAAACCAAAATATAAATAAGTAAAAGTGCAAAATAAAGATGATGAGATATGGGGAGATAGACTTTGTGAAGGTAGGAAGGAGAGAAATGGGAAGGAGGTGAGGGGAAGGGGAAATAAAAAGTGATGCAATATATATCATTATCCTGTGATGAATATATTCATTATGTACCGTAAACATATAATAATAAAAAACAAAAATAACAATTCCTGGCAAAAGACAATATCGCAAGGATAATGAAGCAATCAAAGTGCAAACTAAGTTAGTGCTAAAAATTGACCATTGAACTTACTATCATAGCAATCAATGGTGACTTTAACGAAAACAGTTTGGAATGTTCAGTGGGGTTGTTAAAGGTGCTGAGGTGCCAATGGGTCCCTACCAGGTTCTTGCCCTGTTCAAAGAGTTGGACAAGACAAGCAGAAAATATAAATGCTTAACATTTATCCTTTACAGGTATAGAGTCATAAAAGCCTGAATATAAGAGATTTTATGACTTTCACAGAAAGGCTTTAACTGAAAAAAAGAACCTCTTAATTTAATCTGCCATTCTGTATCCATTTATTGACATTTTCTAGTTCAGATGGTGAGGTTGTTGGGAGGTTGCTGGGATCTGTGGGGTGTTTCCCATGGAACTCTCCATACTGTCATCCACAAACTTCCTGGAGAGAAGGGTGGTTTTCCCCCCAGGAGCTTTGCCAGTGCAGGATGGTGCCCTTGGGGGGCTCCTTTAGAAAGAGAAAACTCCCAGGAGATCAAGATGAAGCCCCTCCAGTTGTTCCCTTAGCCACCTGAGAAATAGTACCTCTTACATTTATCCCACTGATACTTTGGTACTTTGTTTAAGGCAATGGAGGTAGAATTTTTTTTTTTTGCATTTAAGAAAAAAACTTTAGAAAGTTCTAAGTGCAAGACATAAACACAGATGATTGAATTAATATTTACTGAGTGTGTCTTTGTTCAGTTCAGGCTTATTTCTGAATTACCTGAATTTCGGTTACCAGGATGGCTCCCAAGAAAAAGTAACCTATAGCAATTTTTTTCAAAAGAGCTGGAAAAAAAAAAATTAAAACTGAACAGCCTGTCTGGCAGCACCCAACCTGTACAACCATGGAAGACATGACCTCGAGGGCAGCACCTCCACAGCAGCCCCTCCCACACTTCCAGCCTCCATACAAACCCATCCAGGTGCAGAGCATGGTGGTGGGGAGGTGGGATAAAAAAGCACGCAAAGGTTGGGGGCATCAAAGTCCTGAGGGTCCCCAGCTTGTCAGATCTAAGCAAGCAACTGGAGATACCTGCCATGGTGTAGTGCTTGTGGAGCCATTGTGGGGTGCAGACCCTGGGCTAAGCAGGATTAACTGCAGTGATGTGGTAGGGCCAGGGGACTCTCCCTGACAGGATCTGGCTGTGAGGTTGCTGTCTGGACTGATTACAGTTTGGGCAGTGATATGGCCAGGGTGTGTGGGCTGCATGCTGATTGCTTGGACTCCTGTGGCCTGTCTGAAGGATTGGGGTGAAAGTACACCTGCAGGCTCATGGCTACAGCTGGAAAACACAGCTAGAGGCAAGTGACAAAGTGCAGGCAAGTGCAGGCTGCTCCAGGAGTTTGTCTTCTTACCTCCTGGCTGGCTTGCCAAAAACTATCAATGGATAGTGAGGTATCCTGGGCCCCTTCCAGGCTCTTGTCCTGTTTACAGAATTGGATAAAACAAGTGAAAAATGTAGCAAGGTTTTACATTTATTAAAGGTAAGAAAAGAAGGGAAAAGAAATGCTTTGGAAAGAAGTACTCTGCAGAATGAGTGGCGACCAGTCAAAGTAGGAAAGGAAGCTGAACGTGGTGTGTACACCTGTAATCCCAGCACTTGCAAGGCTGAGGCAGGAGGATCCCCGTGAACTTGAGGCCAGCCTGGACTACAGAGTGTGTTGAAGACCAACCTGAACTGCACAGTGAAACCCTGTCTCAAAAGAAACCCTTTCCTAAAAAAAGAGTAGGAAAGGAGAGGCTACTGAAAAGGCTCACAGCAGCCATAAGCTTAATGGCTGCTGTCTTTTGTATCTCCGATTCTGATGTCAGATCTAGGCTATCCTATCACCCAAATTTGTGCCAGAAGAATGGAAGACAGCATTCTCTAATTGGCACCAGGTATAAGCCTCAAAAGTTGCTGTGGACATATGTCTTGAATCTCTGTGATTGACAGGTCTCCATGATTGACAGGTCACATCCAGCTGTCTAGCTGCTTTGCCAGACTGTAAATTATAATCTCCTGTCTCAAGATCAAAAGCCTGACAACAATAGGATAAAAGAAATTGTAGGAGAACAGAAGAAAGCAAATATAGCTAACTATATATATATATATATATATATATATATATACA